AAAAAAAAACAAAAAAAAGCACCTAGTTTTTAAACAGCTAATGATAGACCTAATCCATAATTATTTTCCAGATGGGAAAGGTGATAAAATGCTAGTATTTCACATATCTGAGAAGTATAAGAAATGCTTAAGTACTGAACTCAATAATTTGGAAAAGTATTTGTAGCCTTGTTAACTGTAAAATTTCCCCTACTCCTTGACCCTCCACGCCACACCCTGAGTTTTAACTTTAGTTCATGCATTCTTTTTTTTTTCCTGAGACAGAGCCTCGCTCTGTTGCCCAGGCTAGAGTGCAGTGGCACAATCTCGGCTCACTGCAAGCTTGGCCTCCTGAGTTCATGCCATTCTCCTGCCTCAGCCTCCCAAGTAGCTGAGACTACAGGTGCTCGCCACCACACCCGGCTAATCTGTTGTATTTTTAGTAGAGATGGTCTCGATCTCCTGACCTTGTGATCCACCCGCTCAGCCTCCCAAAGTACTTGAGATTATAGGCGTGAGCCACCGCACCCAGCCTAGTTCACGCATTCTTTTAGAAGATATTTTTTGAGGTACAATCATCACACAGCACAAGCTGCATGATATGTCTCTTTATGATTTCCAAGAAATCAAGATATAGCTCCCACTCTCATAATGTATAATATGTAATGTATAACCTTGCTAGGGAAATAACACTGAAAATTAAGCACCAATATGAGATAATATAAAATGGTATGGACAGTAAAGTACTAGAGAAAGAGAAGGGAGGGATTACAGAATTTTAGAACTAGAAGGGACCTAGTTAAACGTACTCATATCCTATTAAACGTACTCATATCAGAAATGAAACGGGAGAAAAATAAATATTAAATACCTATTATAAAACAGGTGCTCTGAGATACATTCTATAACTCTTTAACCTCTCAACACAACTCTGTAAAGTTAATCTTATCAAATAAATCATTTTCTGTTGTATTTAAACTCAGAGCTGCTAAAACTTATTTTATTTTACCAATACTGTATTCCAGCAATTGTGAGAGTTCTAGGTGTTGAAGCAGCTGCCTCTATGAAAAGTAATTTCTCTGCATTAGTGACTGAGTTATTTTATTTACTTTATTTCTTTAGGAAGCAGTTAGAAAAAAAGTTTACTTTTGGAAAACGTTCTTTGACTTAAGAAAGTTTATGGTTGTCAGGCACAGGTATCACAGGCACTGGGGTTAAGCAGCGACATTTCTTAGATGCCCTTTCTGAGCCACTGCCCCCAATTCTGACTCCTTACAAAATGTCTAGGTCAAGCCCTTGGTTGGCCAAATGGAGAGTTCAATAGATTTTCCCTCTTGGGAAATTAAAATTCAGAAGTATGCAGTAACAACCAAGTACATAGAGCTAATAATGTTAGAACAGGGATTGAAATCCAGGTCTAATTCCAAATGCAATGTTTTTCCCACTACGTCTGTGACAGACTTGCACAGGATTGGTCAGCAAATGGCAGAGCTAGAATCCAAACTCAGGCCTTCGAAATTCAGTACAATCTATAACAAACTGTGCAAGAGTAAAGACTAAAGAAGGTTTTTGGTCTCTTGGAAAAAATATTTTAAGCCACCTTAATAGGACCAATATCTTTCATAACCATTGCAATAATAAATTCCTACACGACATGACATCCAGATGCAAAAAGATGGGCTTTTCTGAGCTTATGTTCCAACAGATCTGGGAACAAAAGCATACAAAACAACACCATATATATGGTATAGAGACAGAGAGGAGGAGATAATTTTAATTTTTACAAATCATTCTCTTTCTGATGCTATTTCCTATTTTTTTTTTTTTTTT